CTATATTCTTAACTGAGTGATCATTAAGTAGAACCCTAACAGGTTTCCTTGCGGTGTCTTTCTTACTTCCAGTAAGTTGCAAATAAATACGTGCTCGCACTAGAGCATGATCTGAATCTAAACATGTATCCCAGAATAAGCGACAGTCCTCTAATGAACCTCTCTATCGGTAGCTGATAGCGATGTGATCTAGGGAAGTCTTACTCACTATTTTCTAGTGGTATAAATGTTCTTTACAAAATTCACAGGATGTAAACTGAATATCCAGTCGATGCTTAAACCAGGTTGGTTGGTACACAGAATTCTCATATAAGGAAGTTGGAAAACTTTGATTACAAGTCAATGGTTCACCAAGGAATCCGGGATCCTGATGAGACGAATAGTGTATAAACCTCTTGTTGACCACCGGCTACCATAACACTGCATCTCTTAACGTTGCTTGACTGTCTTGTGGATTAGACGCTTTGCAACTTTGTTGCTCAGAAAATCACCTGCTTCGGTTTAGACAACTTCACAGTATCCTAGCCCACTCAAAAATAACGCAGAGATTTGTGTGTTTTTCTTCACTGTTAACATTCAACTTCTGTTTGTTTATGTTCTGATTTAGCACAAATGCTTCGGTGTATTGTTTATGTTTCAAAGTTGAATAAATTTGTTCGGGATGTTAGATCCCCAAAACTCGTTTGATAAATGCCCCGATTTTGGATTCTTTATTTGCGAGCATGGGCTGATCAGTTGACCTTGAGATCACACATTTCCCACCAGGAAAATCCTGGGCTGTGATTGGCTGCTGTGTATTTTAGTGTGCTATTTTTGTGACTGTCCCAAAGACGGGATTTGTGTGCTTGATTGCATTGTGCTTGCTGGCTAGGTAGATATAGATGGTCGTCAACTATAGATCACTTTAACATACATTTCATTTTGACATGAATCAAGATTGTTTGAAATGGTTCAGGTGCATCTCCTCTTTGTGTTCTCTCAAATTCTAACCTCATGCATTCATCATCATCTCTTTCGTTCTCTTTTTAAGTTTATTTCACTGGATTATACTTGTTGAATAATATCGTTGAACCTTAATCTCTCCTATTGTAGTGAAGGAGAACACAGGTAAGGGCAACCGAATTGTATTTAACGAAAATTACAGAGTTATTCAGTAAAATTGGAAAACCATATTGTAAACCGTTGTTAATTTGCAAATCTTCAATCCATCATCAATCCATTGTCTGACATTTCACTATTCATGCGTTTCATACAAATTCCATTGTGTTCCCCCCACTCTTCCTTTCTTGATGTTCCCCCATCTTCTGCTGCCAGACATTACGTTGACACTCACGTCATATACTACTTATAAGTAGCGCGCACTACACTATTACTGTTAACAGTTTTACTACCTTTACTACTATAGTATTTCAATTGACAATTGCATCTCTTTGTACTAAGGTGGTATGGCAACATGAATTGATGTACTTACGTACGAAGTTCTACGTTGTAACTGACTGGTCGACTTACAGTTCTGGTACAAATTGAGTTGCATTTTACAGAATGAAATCAACTAAAGCAACCATTGGCAATCAAACAGTACTGATTAGGCGATTTCTTGACTTTAAAGTAACATGTTCGTTTCGATTAAAATCAGCTTACTTAAAGTTATACATACGTATTTATGTTTATTATTTGATAAATACGAATCAGTTTGTAAGTGAATAGAAAAAAGATTACAGTATAAAATGATCTGAGATTTCAAATAAACCGAAAGAAGATTGTATTGCGGTGAACGAGAAGTTACAGAAGAACAGTGAAGATGAAATTGATTTACTGATGAGGGTATATTCGAGATGAAACATAAAGACAATAATGATAATAGTTAAATAGTATCATTTAGATCATGAATCGATCAATGTTAGATCACCACCATTAGAAACCCTGCAACCACTGGACGGATATTTTGTCTTAGTAAAGGACTCGTCGGCAGTGTGCATCCACAACTCCTGATACACGCTCGAACATCTAACCCCTATACAATTGAGTCGGCATTCAACGGTGTTAATGTCTAACTTTGATCCTGTGTTCGATTCCCTCGGACAAGGTTTGTGGATGCGCATATCTGAATAGCCCCATACTAGGACAAAACGGCTGTTCAGTGCTTATTACAAATGACTTACTGGTGACATCTGTGAGACATTGGGGTAACTCTGGAAGTATGAATACAGGTAAGTTTTATTGAAAATTTTCAACTAGCATAAGCCGTAAGTTACTTACTTTACTTAAGCCTGTTACCCACAATGGAGCATAGGCCGACCACCAGTTTTCTCCAACCAACTCTGTCCTGGGCTTCCCTTCCCAGTTCTGTTCAATTTTTGTTCATTCTTCTCATATCTTTCTCTATTTCTCGGCGTAGTGTGTTCCTTGGCCTTCCTCTTTTCCTTTTGCCTTGAGGGTTCGAAGTGAGGGTATGACTCATGACACAGTTAGGTGCTTTTCGTAGTGTGTGTCCTATCCACTTCCAACGCTTCTTCCTGATTTCCTCCTTCACTGAAATCTGGTTTGTTCTCTCCCACATTACGTTGGTGCTGATGGTGTCTGGCCAACGAATCCGAAGTATTTTGCGTAGACAACTGTTAATAAACACTTATATCTTCTGGATGATGCCTTTCGTAGTTCTCCATGTTTCCGCTCCATACAGTAGAACTGTCTTGACATTTGTATTGAATATCCTGATTTTGGTGTTGATTGATATTTGTTTGGAGTTCCAGATATTTTTCAACTGTAGAAATGCATCCCTTGCTTTGCCGATCCACGCCCTCACATCTGCATCCGATCCACCTTGATTGTCGATGATGCTACCCAGATATGTAAAGATGTTAACGTCCTCCAAGGCATCTTCATCAAGAGTGATTTGGTTGGTGCATGTTGTGTTGCATCGAAGAATTTTGCTTTTTCGTTTATGTATGTTGAGACCTCCTGCTTCTACATTGGTCGTCTTCTCTTACATTTGTTGTTGCGTGTGCGATAGAAGAGCCAGGTTATCTGCGAAGTCCAGATCGTAAGTTACATAGAGTTAATTTTTAACTACTTTCTAATTCAAATAATATATGAATATATTATTGTAATACTTTCAGTTATATCAGTTTATCAATACACATAGATGTATGAATGAGGTTGAGTAAGACCGTGGATTGATTGAATGTCAGCTTAGTGGTCTAGAGGTTAAGCGGTCATGCATGAGACCAAAGGTCCTGGATACGATTCCTGATCACGTAGTCGTAGCCGTGTACTGTTAATGAGTCTCATACAAGAACGAAACAGCCGTTTAGTGCTTCCAGGTTCCTAATAGTGGTATAACATTGATCGACTAGACAATTTCTACAACTTTATCATGAAAAAATGTTTTAAACTTGTGTTCATTTCTTTCAGTTATAGATAAACCGACAAGTGGACTTAGCCATGTCGGTAGTTGTCGACTACCTGGTTGGGGTCCGTGAGATGATAATAATCGATGGTTAGAGACCCTGAATGACATGGCTCAAAACCGTTCGCAATGGCACCGGTGCATTTATTCTTTGTGTTCTCTCAAATCCTAATCTTCTCAGTCAGCCAGACAGTTGAAACGTAGAACTTCGTACGTATGTACATAAGTTCATGTTGCCATACCATATTAGCACAGAGACACAAATGTCAAATCAAATACCATAGTGATAGAGATAGTAGAGGTATTAATGGTAATGAAGAAGACTAGGGTTTGAAGATATTATTCAACAAATATGATTCAATGATATAAGTTTAGAAAGACAAAGGTAGAGGAGGTGCTAACGAATCCAGATGATTAGGATTTGAGAGAGCACAACGAATGGATGCACTTGTGCCATTGCAAACGATTTTGAGCCATTGGTGACTTTCGTCTTGCGAACACAACCAGGTAGTCGACATCAACCAACATGACTCAGTCCACTTGTCAGTGACTTCATGTGTTTCTGCCATGTTTTGGTCTGGCCGACCCTAACTTTCTTCCAACCTACTCCTACACCACAAAACATAGCTCGTCGAGGCAGTCGGTGGTTGGGCATTCGTTACACATGTCCCAACCACCTCAACTGATGAAGTTTCACCACTTCACCGATTGATCTGCCATCCTTAGCTAGTACTCGTTTTCTAACGACAGCATTGCTTACTCGGTTGTCCCACGATATACGAGCAATGCTTCTTAAACATCCTAATCTTCTGAATTCTTCAACACCTCTAGTTTTGCCTTCCTAAACTTATCTCACTGAATCATACTCCTTGAATAATATCTAATCCTAACCTCTCGGATTACTCCTAATACCCTTACTACCTCTTCTACTATTGGATTTGAATTGACAATTATATCTCTGTGTGCTGATGTGGTATGTTAGTATGAACTAATGTACTTACGTACGAAGTTCTACGTTGCTGTATCTGACTGACTGACTGGTTATAGACAAAAAATTTAATATCAACTCAAATTTTACAAAAAAAAATTAGAAAAAAATTTTCAAAACAACAATAACAACATTTTAGGGGCACAGTTTTGGAGGTTTGCGTTTTTACACATTTGAAATCATCAATCAATCATTGTTAGTTGACCACCATTAGAAACCGGGAAGCACTGGACGGCCGTTTCGTCCTGGTATGGGACTCATCAGTGGCAGTGCGCATCCACGACTCCTGCTCCTCGCAGGATTCGAACCCGGGACCCTTGGCATTGTAGGCGAACGCCTTACCATCGGATCACTGGGCCGGTGGCATCCAACGGTGTTAATGCCTAACTCTGATTGATCTAGGGATTTTGCGCGACCCATACTACGACGAAACGGCCGTCCAGTGCTTCCAGGTTTCTTCTAATGGTGGTCAACTAACAATAATTGATTGATGATTTCAAATGTGTAACAATAACAACAACAACAACTAGAAAATGAAGAAAGAACGCACAAACAAACAACACTCAGATAAACATGAAAATTTTTTTTTAAATTCAAACTTACTTCATTCAATGTTAAATCATAATTTTCTTTTTCAATCAACACTTGAATTCTTTTATCATTATTCCAATCAGTAGTGATAATATGTGTAAATTCTAAACTTTGCCATGATATCAAATCAATCATCCCAGTAGAATTCATCAAATATTGATGATATTGTTCAATGTTCAATTCATCTACTGTTAAGTTATCAATGATCATCATCATCGTAGAATGAATTTGTCTTTCATATGCTTGTATTTTAAGTAATTGATGTGTTAATCTATCATACGTGTAACGTGTTATCATTTCCTGTTGTTGATGTTGTTGTGTTTCTTTCAGATTGAATATTGACAATAATACATTTTCATTCCATACATCTAATGGATAATGTAATCTTTCACAGAATTTCTTTTGTTTATCAACAATGATTAAGTGATCATCATGATCAATTGAATGTGATATAGTTGCATAAGTAACATAACATTTACCAGAACTATCATATTCAATGCCTGGTTCAAATGTACGGTGTATATTCAATAAACTGATAAGTCCTTTGAAAAGATTCATTTGGAGAATGTTCATTTTCAATTGATTATTAGAAATAAATATTTGATCAATAAGACCTTTGTTATCAAATAGTACTAAACAGTTGAATTCTTGTGGATTTTTAAATTGATCATTGATGGTATCAATGTTCAATGTGATGTACCATAGAGTTTTATTGATTTTTGCGGTAGTTTGTTGATCCACCTCTTTGATTATGATCGGTGTAATCGAAACCGAGCCGGAGAGATTATGTAAAATGGTTGGTTTATGAGAATTTTCTGATATATTTGTAGCATATTTGTATACAAATGTTTTTGCATTGAATAGATGTAGAAAATATACAATGAAAATAATAATCAAGGAATGAAAATGTAGAAAAATCGGCATCGATGTGAAAAAATGTGTAGTAGTTATTCGCGAAAAGTGCAAATTTTATAATGACAGTAAAACAACTCACATGCTATTGGATACTTTTTATTTGATTCTGATTGGTCGAGATGATTGCCCTACTAGAAAGAACCAATCATTTTGAAGAATGAGATAAATTTCGGCGTAGCCCTAGTCACAGTTCAAGGTCATTTGTGACGATTCACTTATTGGCGTGCAAACATGATGCAGAGGTGTAATTAGAAATAATTTCATACTTTTACAACCGTAGTTTACAATTCTAAGATTAAACTATCGACCGCATTAAGTTTTAGCATATGAAATCAGGAATAGCAGGATAATTTTCATTATACGGTTGTGGAGATTGTTAAGTGCTATTGAAGTCATGAATCGATGAATGTGATACCACTGGGCGTCCTCCTCGTTCGTCCTAATGTAGGACTCGTCGGCAGTGCGCATCCATGCCCCCGCTCACGTTAATCGAACACAAAACTTTCAGTCTTACGGCTCAGGAGCCTAGAGTTTAAGTCTTCACGCGTATGAGCATAATAGCTGAAATTTGGAGAACTACCAAAACCATCATCCAAAAGATACAGGCATATATAAATATCTGTCTATTAAAGGTACTCCGAATCCGTCAACCAAACATCATCATCCACAACCCAATGTGAGAGAGAATAAACCAGATTCCTGTTGAGGAAGAAATTAGGGAAATTCGTCGGAGCTGGATAGGACACATTGTGGAAATCACAAGACAAACCCTAATTTAGAATCCTCAAGGCTAAAGGAAAAGATGTAGACGCCAAAGAACACATTACACCGAGAATTAGAAGCAGACATGAAAAGAATGTATAGTAATCAGGAGCAATGAGAAATTAGAGTAGAGGACAGATTTGGTTCGAGAATGCTTATTAGCAGTCTATACTCCACGACGGGTAAGTGGTGTAAGTAAGCAAATAGGTATGAGCATGGAGGAAATTGAAGGTTTAAGGATGATATTTTTGAAAAAGACACGAAAAATCTCTTCACTGTGGCTAAAAAACATTCGATAAAGTTTCTATTAAACTAACCACTAACTAGTATACATGTGGTGCGCGCTACTTATAAGTAGTTTATGACGTGAGTGTCAACGTAATGTCTGGCAGCAGAAGATGGGGGAAGATCAAGAAAGGAAGAGTTAGAAGAACACAATGGAATTTGTATGAAACGAACGCATGAATAGTGACAATGGATTGATGTTTTGCAACAGGAACAGTCCAGTTCGATATGATGGACTGATATTTTGCAAATTAACGATTTATGATATGGTTTTCCTAGTTTACTGAGTAACTCTGTAATTTTCGTTAAATACAATCCGGTTGCCCCACCTGTGTTCTCGTTCACTACATACATACAGTAGAGACACTAAATATCTAAACTGATAAATTTAATATTCATCTGCTCTTATTATTCAACTAGGTACATAAGTTACTAACTCCGCCAGTAGAACCTTAGGGGCTACTGCCGGTCCCAAGCCCGGATAAAGGAGGAGGGTTGGACATGGGGTTGGCGGCCCCATTCCGTTGAAATCTAACTTGCCAAAAAAACGCTAACCAGAAAAAATAATTCAAACCATTTTAACTCTGCCCTGGGAGTTGGAAGAAGAATTATGACGTCTCGTGATGAAAGCCGAGTCCCCTCGGAAGTCACGGGGCCGATGCCTCTTCTGACAACCAGAGCAACCATTTTTTTAGGTACATGGAACGTTCGTACATTGTGGGAGACTGGAAGACTATTTCAAGTTGCGGCAGAAATGAAAAGATACAACCTCGAGGTGCTCGGCATCAGTGAAACACATTGGACACAGGTAGGACAACTGAGACTTGCTTCAGGGGAACTGCTGTTATACTCTGGTCATGAAGAGGAAAACGCTTCACATACACAAGGAGTTGCACTGATGCTGTCCAAACATGCACAAAAGGCACTGATAGGATGGGAATCTCATGGACCCAGGATCATTGAAGCATCCTTCAAAACAAAGAAACAGGACATTACAATGAACGTCATCCAATGTTATGCACCTACCAATGACTACAATGACGACGTTAAAGATCAATTCTACGAAAGGCTGCAGTCAGTCGTCGAGAAATGTTCACCAAAGGATTTGACGATTCTTATGGGAGACCTGAATGCCAAGGTTGGAATGGACAACACTGGATATGAAGACATCATGGGACGACATGGACTGGGAGAAAGGAACGAAAACGGTGAGAGATTTGCAAACCTATGTGCCTTCAACAAACTGGTCATCGGTGGCACAATATTCCCGCACAAACGCATTCACAAAGTCACATGGATTTCACCGGACCACACTACTCAAAACCAAATTGACCATATCTGTATCAACAAAAAGTTCAGAAGGACCATGGAGGATGTGAGAACCAAGAGAGGAGCTGATATAGCTTCAGATCACCACTTGCTGATCGCCAAAATGAGATTGAAGCTAAAGAAGCACTGGACAGCGGGGCAGACAACATCACAGAAGTTTAATACTGCCTTTCTTCGGGATACCGTAAAACTCAACGAATTCAAGATAGCCCTCACCAATAGGTTCCAGGCCTTTCAGGATCTACTCAATGGAGAGGAAGCAACATTGGAGAACAATTGGAAAGGGATTAAGGAGGCAATCACTTCAACATGTCAGGAGATCCTTGGTCGCAAGAAGCACCATCACAAGGAATGGATCTCTGTTGGTACTCTTGAAAAAATTCAAGAAAGGAGGAACAAGAAGGCAGCTATCAATGTCTGCCGAACAAGAGCAGAGAAAGTTAAGGCGCAAGCCGAGTATACAGAAGCAAACGGGGAAGTGAACAAGAGTATCAGAGCTGACAAACGAAAATATGTGGATTATCTAGCAATGACGGCGGAAAAGGCTGCAAGAGAAGGAAACTTGAGACAACTGTACGAAACTACAAAGAAGCTCGCCGGAAACTATCGTAAACCAGAACGACCAGTGAAAAGCAAGGAAGGGAAAATAATCAGCAACACTGACGAACAGCGAAATAGGTGGGTGGAGCACTTTAAGGAACTATTGAATCGACCAGCTCCACTGAACCCACCCAACATCGAAGCAGCATCCAAGGACCTCCCAATTAATATTGGCGCACCTACGATTGAGGAGATCAGTATGGCCATCAGACAAATCAAGAGCGGCAAAGCAGCAGGACCAGACAACATTCCAGCAGAGGCAATGAAAGCAGATGTGGAAGCAACTGCGAAAATATTTCACATTCTCTTCAAGAAGATTTGGGATGAGGAACAAGTACCATCAGATTGGAAAGAAGGATACCTGATCAAAATACCAAAGAAAGGCGATCTCAGCAAGTGTGTAAACTACAGAGGCATCACTCTTCTTTCAATACCAGGCAAAGTCTTCAACAGAGTATTGTTAAACAGAATGAAGGACTTCGTAGACGCCCAACTTCGAGATCAACAGGCTGGATTTCGTAAGGATCGATCGTGTACTGACCAAATTGCTACATTACGGATCATTGTGGAACAATCAATTGAATGGAACTCACCACTCTACATCAACTTCATCGACTACGAGAAAGCATTCGATAGCGTGGATAGGAAAACACTGTGGAGGCTTCTTCGACACTACGGGGTGCCTGAGAAAATAGTCAACATCATACGGAATTCTTATGATGGATTCAACTGCAAAATCGTACACGGAGGTCAGCTGACAGACTCTTTTGAGGTGAAGACCGGTGTCAGGCAAGGTTGCTTACTCTCACCCTTTCTCTTTCTCCTGGTCATCGACTGGATTATGAAGACGTCAACATCTGGAGGGAAGCACGGTATCAACTGGACAGTTAGGACGCAGCTGGACGATCTGGACTTCGCAGATGACCTGGCTCTTCTATCGCACACTCAACAACAAATGCAAGAGAAGACGACCAGTGTAGCAGCAGCCTCTGCAGCAGTAGGTCTCAACATACATAAAGGAAAAAGCAAAATTCTCCGATGCAACACAACATGCACCAACCGAATCACGCTTGATGGAGATACCTTGGAGGACGTTAACACCTTCACATATCTTGGCAGCATCATCAACGAGAAAGGTGGATCGGACGCAGATGTGAGGGCGCGGATTGGCTAGGCAAGGGCTGCATTTCTACAGTTGAAAAATATCTGGAACTACAAACAACTTTCAAACAAAACCAAAATCAGGATCTTCAATACAAATGTCAAGACAGTTCTACTGTATGGAGCGGAAACATGGAGAACTACCAAAGCCATCATCCAGAAGATACAAGTGTTTATTAACAGTTGTCTACGCAAAATACTTCGGATTCGTTGGCCAGACACCATCAGCAACAACGAACTGTGGGAGAGAACAAGTCAGATTCCAATGGAGGAGGAAATCAGGAAGAAGCGGTGGAAATGGATAGGACATACACTACGAAAAGCACCCAACTGCGTCACTAGACAAGCCCTCACATGGAACCCTGAAGGCAAAAGGAAAAGAGGAAGGCCAAAGAACACACTACGCCGAGAAATAGAGAAAGATATGAGAGGAATGAACAAACATTGGACAGAACTGGAGAGGGAAGCCCAGGACAGAGTTGGTTGGAGAAAACTGGTGAGCGGCCTATGCTCCATTGGGGGTAACAGGCGAAAGTAAGTAAGTAAGTACATAAGTTACTCGTCAAAGAATAGTTCCTAACTAGTTGTGCAACACTTTCCAGCTTGGTTTTCTTTAAAGAACAGTACGAAAATAAATAAGCAACAATTTCGCGGTGCAGTCACATAAGGGAATGTGAGTAGAGTTAGTTATAGAGAGAAGAGAGGTATGTGTGGGTGTAGGAAGGATTTGATTTCGACCAGATTGGTCTCTCGTGCTGTTACGGGTATGAGGGCGGTTGTCACTTCCCGACTGCCCACACCGTGGAAGGTTGTTTCTTGAAGGACCTGAAAAGGAAGGTGAATTAGAGTTGCTGTTAGAGACCTGGGTGCGTGAACGCAGAGTCCAAGGGA